AAGATATGGAGAGAAATGATAGTGTTTAAGTAGTATTTTCATAATCCTGAAAGTGCCCTCGACAATTAAAAAGAGAAAATTATTATTCCACTTATATCCCTTCTATTTAAAATAATATAATAGAAATTTGGTTGTTATCACTTCTCTTATTTTCTCCCATCTGTCATATCCAAACAATAATACTATCATTTCATTTCTTTTCTCTCCTATCTATCTGAACATAAATAAAGATTATTACTATTTTTTTTTTTTTTCTTTTCTCTCATACCTAATACTATTATTTTTATTTTTATTTTTTTCTCTCCTATGTATCCAAACAAAGCCTTAATTCTAAACATAGACATATGATATAAGATCGATGGAATACTATATTTGTATGGCTGCGAATCTAGCGTGAGTTTAGTTAAATTAAAAATATATTTAAAAAGTTTAACTTGATTTACGAAGGTGTTAACTTATTTGTCATTAAACGACATAACATTTTTAACTTGTATGTGTAGTTAATATGCATAACATTTGGAGTTAGGTTATTTGGTGCAATATTTGTCCTTATATGTGTTAGTTTTATATGGGGGCTTTTTGGAGTAAACTCAACAATAAAATCGTAGCTTTAGACTCAAAACAAACAAATATTATACCATGTGGTGAAGTGAAATGTTACAAATGGTATCAGAGGTGGAAGTGTGGCTAATGAGGACGTTGGGCTCTAAAGAGTGATTGTGGCGACCTTGTGGGCGGGTGTAAGACACTGACAAGTTACGGGTGCAACATTACCTGAGTAAGATGAAGATGGAGTGTTTATATGTGCTAGTGTTATTACTAAATGATTTGATACCTTTTAAAATAAAACCAAAGAACAAAACCCTGCTAGGTAGGACTTAAAACGGACAATATCAATCATTCATTGTAATATATCAAAAAAATCAATTGTGTTGTTGTATCATTTTATTTCTCTAATGCGCGTTTGGTGTGCATGAATGTAATGAAATGGAATGAAATGCCCATTTCAACAATTTCTTTGTTTGATATGCAATTTAAAGTGAGAATGACAATTCCATTAGAATGAAAATTCATTCCACAGCTAAACCTATGGAATGACCATTCCATTCCTAAGCAATTTTTTTATAAAAAAATTCAACCTCCTAAAAAACCCTTAAGTCGCAAGTTCAAAAACCACTACCTTCCACCACAACCGCCTCAGTCTTTCATCGCCACCGCCACCGATTTTCACCACTGCCTACCGCTTTCCACCACCACCACCGCTACCGACACCCCTTCCTTTGCCGCAACCACCACCACCGCAACCGTCTTTCACCATATTCCACCATCACTGCTACTCTCCACCACCATCGTCTTTCTCCACCCTTACTACTTTTCGTCACCACCACTGTTATCGCCACCGCCTTTCACCACCGCTACCTCTTTCCACCGCCACTACCTTATATTTCCACCACCACCGTCACCGCCTTTCACCACCACTACCTCCTTCCACCTCTACCTCCTTTTATCACCACCACCATTATCATCGCCTTTCACCATTGCTACCACCGCTTTTCACCGCCTTCCACCACTGCCACCTCCTTCCACCACCACCATTGCCACCACCGCTACCGCCTTTCATCACCACTGCTTTCTACCACCATACTACTACCATCGCTTTCCACCAACACCAATGTTGCCTTCCACCATTGCCACCACCGCTGCCTTTCAACACTACTACTTACAGCACCGCTGCTTTCCACCTCCACCACCATCCACTACCGACATTGCCACCATTTATTTTAAAAAAATTATAGAAGAATGTTATTTTGTTAATTTAATTTATTTGTTATTAAGAGGGATATTTTGGAGAACTCAATTTGAAATTTATTCCATTCTAAATTTTATATTGGTCTAACCAAATACTAGAATGGTTATTATCATTCAATTCCTACACATTTCATATTTACAACCAAACAATAGAATGAGAATGGTAATTCCATTCCATTCTCATTCTCATTCTCATTCCATTCCAACTTACATTCCATTACATTCTATTCCTGCACACCAAATACAACATAATAATTTTAATTTTTAAATAGAGAGAATTGTTCTTAACCACTCTCTTTCTTCTAAATATTTATTTTTAAATTACATGTAGAGTGTTTAATAGCTTTATCCTGATAACAATTATACCGTGATGCAACTGACAAATTACTTATTTTAGAGTTAAGTGAAAAAAACTCCCTGATATATAGAGTTTGTGCAAAATTAGTCCCTACTTTTTAAAAATATGCATGTTATTCCATAAAATTAAAAAAAAAAGGTACAAATAAGCTACTTAGATCACTTTTTGGCAAAAAAGTAAATATGAAAATCCAATTTTACCCTTTTGTTCATATTTTGCCCCTTATCTCTCTCTCTCCCTCTTTTCTCTCCACCAACGAGCCACTTCCTCCCACCACCATTACAGGCCACAACCCCCATCACCGCCACACTTAAAAGTATACACACACACACACACACACACACGTGTATGTAACTCAAAGCCCATCACTGACTCATCGAACCACTTCCACATCACTCACTAAATGGAACTCACACACAATCGCTATCCATTGATAAGAGAACCAGAAAAGTGGGGTTAGATAATCAAGAGATGTAATTTTTTGGTCGTCACCCCCATCAACCACCACCATCACCGCCACCCCCACCAACCACCACCATCACCGCTACCCTTACCGCATTTCTTCTCTCACATCCCTCATAATAGAAGAGGTTCTGCAACAAGCGATTTGATTTAGCAGCGATGACATACATATGGACGATTTCATCAATTTGTCCTCCACCAAGAAAATTGAATCTCTTTTGTGACCCACAAAAGGGTTTTTATCAATTCGTTCCAATTCCATTGTAAACCAAGTATTATATATATATATATTATTATAGAGATTAAAGAGAGAAACCGTGGGCTGTATCAAACCCATCTCTTTTATCAAACCCATTTCTTTTATAAATGTTGTATGCACGAGAAACGAGGATGAAAATGATTTTCTTTTTAGTTATACTTCATCTCCATCCATATTATTATTATTGCCTCTAACATGACAATTGTTGATGCCTCCAACAAATTAATAAGTTAGTATAAAAAAATACATTATGACTTATTTACAAGTACACTTAAATAGAACTTATGACCTATTTTCTTGCTATAATGCATTCACGAAACTTTCCTCTCCTAATGTTGGATCAAGATAATTATGTGTTGGATTTGGTGGCAGTGGTGATGGTGGTGGAAGTGCAAAATGGGTTTGGGTTATATATGTGTGTGTAGGTTTGGGTTGTGTTTCTGGTTTTTGAGTTTGGAAAATGTAGTTGGTGGTGGTGGTGGTGGTGGGTGATGGGTGGTGAGAGAAAAGGAAAGGAAGAAAGAGGTCATTTTACAAATTCCTACACAATTTGAATAAAATGGTTATTTTACATTGCTGATATTTATATTTATTAATTTATTTTACTAAAATGAGGGTATTATCATTATTTTAAGTCTCCAAGGGACTATTTGTACCAAATTAATAGTATAAGGGTATTTTACACAACACGAAAATTATTTTGCACTATATCGATATTAGAGGGTTTTCTTTTTGCACATAACCCTTTATTTTACTAAGCAAATGGAGATAAAAAAACACACTTGGTATGTTGGACGGTTGGACCGATTCATTTGCCATATCATTTGTTATAATATATATAAATTAAATATTTATATATATATATATATTATCATTTTATTTCTCTAATAACTTAAACTTTTATTGTAATTACACATTTTTTAAAACGTAAAGTGTTTTTTTTTTTTTTTTTGTTATTTATTCATTTTATTTTAAAGTATGATCGTTGCAAGACGTTGAGAATCCAACTTGGTTATGCGCATATATACATATATTAAAATAAATGTGCAAGATACAAATTATGGTAAGCTGTACAAACATTTTTATGGCTGACAAATGAATATCTCAGATTTAAAGGAAATAAAGATCCCTAATCTTGGAAAAAAATCGGGCAGGATGATATATAAAACATAATAAAACTGTGTATACATACATTATACATACCAGACTCACCTATAACATATACGTTTCCTAGTCTATAAACTCTATAGTGAGTTCCAAAAGCGGGCCGAGCAAGCCCAATCAAAGTCTAGGTTGTGCAGATTAATTTGAGCTTGAGGAAATTGCAGCCAGATTGGTTTAGCGACAATTGGGCCCTTTAATGGACTCCTGCCATCTGCTTCCAATAATGGATTCTGTGTTGAGCTTAATTTGGTCCAACGTAACTCGGCTATTTATTTTTATTTTTTCATAGTAAGTTACACACCGTAACACACATTCCTGTCAAAATAAGTAAATGAATAAATAATACACACAATTAATTTATTTTATTATGAAATATGAACTCTCAATCTTCTATTTAAAGGAAGGAAGAGACACAACTCAGAATTAAGTTTTTAATAACCAACTCGATTTTAAGTTAATAAAGTTTGAAATTATTAATAGTTGATAATAGTATAAATGAACTTAGTCGAGACAAGTCCAGTTCTCCTTTAACTTATTCCATGCACTTGTGATATATGATTTTTTCAAAAAATATTTTTATTACATTAACTTTTTCTCATACGATTTTTATTGCATTACATATGAAACTTGTCAAATTATTAAAAAGTAAATAAAAAATGCGTTAGGAATCCCATCGATACAAATTGCACCTTCTTCTATAAATAATAATAATAAAAAACCTATCTATATATTTTATAGAGCATTACTTTAAAAGTAAGTATCACTCTACTGTAAATTTTACTATATATATATATATATTTATTTACCCTATGAAAATTCAAACTTTCATCATATTTGAAAGATAAAAAGACACAGGTAGAAAATACAACTTCTATAAATTTTATTGGGTAACATTGTGGATAGTCAGACGAGGATAGAGATAATAAAAGAAGAAGAAGAATAACCCAAGTTGAAGTTTTAGCCAAAGAGTGCGGGAGTGGTACGAAAAGAGGCCGATTGAGTGCGGGGGAAGTTAGAATAATCTTTTTGGAATTGGTAGGAGAACTGTATATATATATTCCTTCCCGTCATTTGGAGAGAAAATACGCATAACGAGGCTATCCTTTCTCTGATAACAAGAGACAACAACGCCGTGTTTGAACCTTTTGCTCTCTCTCTCTAACCTGTCTACATCTGACTCCTCTGCCGAACCAAACCAAGCTTGTATTTTGAGTGCAATCCGATTTTTTGCCTTGCCCTTCAAATTACCGAGGAGAAGAAAAGCCCTAGCTTCTTTGCAATTCCTATATATACACTTTGTTAGTGTGTATCTGTGTATATAAGTGTTTCCAGTATTATCTGTGTATATATATTAGTCATGGTTGGACTAGAAGATTGCTGTGCCACGCAATTGATTGACCAACATGGCGATTTCAATGTCGTCGGTCTCCAAAGTTTCATGAAGACTGTGAAGCTCGCCGAGTGCGGTCTTTCCTATGCTGTCGTCGCAATCATGGGTCCACAAAGCAGTGGTATGTGGTTTGCTCTATTACTTGCTACTTTCTAATCGACTTACTTGTATGTTTACTTGGATTGAGCTCCTTCAACATTCAGTCGTGTACAGAGAGCTTGGGTTTCTAGTTGCCTACCACCAAAAAACAACGGTGCATTTATGTGGACCTATAGCTAAGTTGACTCAATTGAACTCCTTAATGCTAAATTGTGTTCCATATATACAAATATATACTACGCAGTATTGATATTGTTTTGTACCCTTTTGTAGGAGAGGCTTTGTTGAGTTGAGTCGCGTTTAGTAAACATTCAAACATGAATTTGGTCTTTAAAAGAGTCCCAAGATATATAATTTGGTGGGCCTACAAAGAAAACAAATTCCCATGCAAATTATAAAAGTACCCAAGATATGTATATGAATACACAAACTAAAGTTCAAACCACTTTTGGTTACACTAGTGAGGTTTTCATAAACATTGGATTGAACCAATGATTGGTGCTAAGCCCATATTTATTTGCAATTCTCTTAGATGAGATAATAAAAGAATTCCAAAACCAGATCCCATGGTGCATGATGCTTGCCGATGATATCTTGCTCTTGGATATCTTTAAATAGAGCTTAGCAATAAATTTGGAAATGTGGAGAAATGTTTTAGAATCGAAAGGATTGAGGATAAAGCAAACTAAAACCGAGTATATGTAGTGTAAATTCAATAAAGATTTGAACATTAATAATGTAATGATAACACTTAAAGACCAAAAAATTACTCAAAACAATTTGTTACTTAGGATCAATAATACAAAAATGGAGAAATAGATAGCGTCATAACTAGTAGGATTGGAGCCGGGTGGACAAAATGGTGATAAGTTAGTGGGTTTTATGTTATAAAATAAATAAAACATATTCTAAAAGGAAAATTATAGAGGACTGTTAGTAGACTAACTATGTTGTATGAAGCGATATGTTGGGTTCTAAAAAAGAAACAAGAACATATAGGGTTTGGAAACATACATCAGAAACCTAGCACCCATTGGTGAGAAAATTCTAGAGACTAGTTTGGACACATACATCAGAAACCTAGAGACACGTTGGTCAAACGAGGAAGACTAGTTGTAATAAGAGGTAAGAGACGGAGAGGGCGACCGAAAATGATGATTAAATGAGGAAGACTAGTTGTAATAAGTGGATTATGCCTCTTTTTTTTTTTTCACTTTTATTTTCCGATGGTGGTTCCTACTGTCCCATCACTTCTTATGGATATGATGATTAAATGAACATGGTTTACAAGGGTTAACTTACAGGGGAGGTTTGAGGTTCGTTCCTTGTTTTACTGCTTCTCTGATTCTAATTTCCCTTAGAAATCGGTTTGGCGTTCGAAGGTTCTGCTCAGAGTGGCTTTTTTCGTTTGGACTGCAGTTTGGGCCAAGATTTTGACAATGGATAACTTGAGAAAAAGAAGACAAGCTACAATCAACTGGCGTTGCATGTGTAAGAGGGATGGGGAGTCAGTGGATCACCACCTCCTGCATTGCCATGTTGCTCAAGGCTGTGGGAACTTTATTTTTGGTTGTTCGGCATCCATCGAGTTATGCCTCGGTCATGCTTGGAGAGGCTGCTCAGTGGGAGCCCGCGCTCATGATTTTTAGAGGGCGCCCCCCTTTTGTTTGATGGTTCATTTGGAAGAAGCGGAATAGAAGATCTTTTGACGGGGAGGAATCTTCCATTGGGGCTTTGAAATTTATTATTTTTAGTTCTCTTTTTAGTTGGGTGATGGGGAGAAATTGTAAATCTATAGAGGAGATTGTTGAATTTTTGGGCTCCTTGGGTCCTTAGGCCCTCTTTTTTTTGGCTTCGGCCCTTATATAGCTTTCGGGATGCGTTCCCCTCTTGAACGCTGTCTAATATATTTTTACTTATAAAAAAAAATGTTTTGTTTTTATTTTTTCACGGTAATATACAAGCTAAGTATGTTTTGGTTGTGCATAAATGTATGCATATGTGATGTCCACACTCGCACCATTTTGCTATATGTGCTAAGAGAAGGATTTTTTTTTGAACAGGGAAGAGCACACTTTTGAATCATCTTTTCTATACCAATTTTACGGAAATGGATGCATTCAGGGGAAGGTTAGTTTTTTCAGCCTCTCTGTTTTGCATCACATTGTGGAGGACAAGTTTGTCTTTTTCTAGTCATACAGTTGTTTCTCTTGCTGTTACTTGCACTCATAACCATACAAGAGACATGGAACATATGTTATTCTGTTACAGGAATCAAACAACCAAGGGCATTTGGATAGCGAAGGGTATCGGCATTGAACCTTGTACAATTGTCATGGATTTGGAGGGAACTGATGGAAGGGAAAGGGGCGAGGTAATAGCCTTCGTATTGATCTTTGTTACTTTATCCAGAAGGAATAATAGGAAAAAGTAGAGCTCAGTTGTTGTAATCAGAAAAATGACTTTGCGGTTACCTTAAACTTGTTATCTCTACCCTTTTGGCCTTTAGTTTAATTGTACAAACCTTTAAATGATGTTTCTTGCTTTATCCAGGTGGGTTCTGATTGCGAAATTTGTATGGACGTATGTGTAGTATTTTAAACCCTGTTCTAATCTGATACTTCGGTGTGGTAATTTTTTAATTTCAGGATGATACGGCATTTGAGAAACAAAGTGCCCTCTTTGCTTTGGCAGTTTCAGATATTGTACTAATAAATATGTAAGCTTGCAATCTTTTCATATAATGTTTTTCTACTTTTTTCTGCCTTATGGCTTGAGAATCGTCTCTATATATGGTTGGAATCAAGAGTGGTCACGAGTCTGATCCAGGTTGAGATCAAAATTGTTATTGAAACATGGACTCAAGCATGACCAATCATGATCATACCAAGATGTGGAAGCCTACTCCCTGCCCGAAAGAAGATTATTAAAATTTGCCCGGTCCAGCTTGACCCTTTTTAAATAACTCATTAAGCAGCTTAATGGGAAATTTGTAATGAATAAATATTTTATGCTGTAAGCTCACTGATTCATGCTGGAATGGACCAAACTTATCTTTCTGATATGTGAACCCGAAACTCCAATCAAGCCCTAAAATATAGGTCTGTTCAGTTTGTCCAGAATGCATATATGGTTGGCCCTGGTGGCTTGGACATGCATACCAGAAAGTTATTTCAAATTTTATTTTCTTTAATATATTTCTACCATTACTAGTATGACATTCATATCTGATGCATTTTTAATGATTATGTTAAGATATTGGAATCCGATGTTGAAAATTGTATAATGCTCTGTTTGGTAGGAGGGATGAAAAATAGATGGAAGGGAGGGGTGGAGGGTTGGGATAGGCATCCCTGGGAAGAGAGGGTGTTCATTCCTCCCTTTTTTTGGGTTGGGGGGAAGGGGGGGGCGGGGGGGGGGGGGGGGGGGGGGGTGGGGTGGTCTCTTCTCTCTTCCTTCCCTCATACTAAACATAGGCCAAGTGAATCCAAAACTGGTCTAGTCCAACATGATCGCATTTGGTTTTTAATCCCATTTAATCATGAGCTAAAAAGTTTCTAAGTGTCTTAGATCTTAATGGACTGTAATATCCAATTTTTTGGTATATATACATGTATAAGAGTTAGTTCAAGTATCAACTAAATGCCTGATATTGCATAATAGGTGGTGCCATGATATTGGTCGGGAGCAGGCTGCCAACAAACCTCTTTTGAAAACAGTATTTCAGGTACTCCCATGTTTATATTAAAGTTGACCTTCTCATATTGTTTTCTAATTATGACAATCAATTTTCTAATCTTCAGGTTATGATGCGATTATTTAGCCCACGCAAAACTACACTTCTCTTCGTAATACGTGACAAAACAAAGGTTTGGAATTTAGCTGTTCATTTTCCTGAAAGTTGTTGTTCCATCTACTTTGTTCTCCGCTATTTAAAAGCTGCCTTCTTTCTTTCGTTTTGATTTATTATCTTCTCTTGACTGTCCATGTAGACCCCACTTCAACATTTGGAGCCTGTTTTGAGGGAGGATATTCAGAAGGTATTTTTGTGCATATTTCCTTGCTTTCTGGGTTATCGTTTGCTTCCTTTTTCCTTTTTCCTTTTTCTAGCTTGCATCTTTTGTCCTTTAGCCTTATTATGGATAATTGTTCCTGCAGATATGGGACACGGTTTCTAAGCCTCAAGCCCACAAGGACACACCTCTGAGTGAATTTTTCAATGCAAGATATCCTCTCTGTGGTTGTGTGTGTGTCTGTGTGTCTGTATGTGTGAAATTTTCCTTTCTGATTTAGCTTTCTTGGACTTGAAGGTGGAAGTCACTGCTTTATCCAGCTTTGAAGAGAAGGAAAATCAGTTTAAAGAGCAGGTAGTTCCTCTAATACGAACTGCTTTTTAAAAGTTACATACTATTTACTAGCTGTCGCATATTTTTTATTTCTCAGAACTTTAAAAGCATTCTTCCAGCTTTTTGTTTTGGCCCTGGATATGCCCTCTATATAACTGTAATCAGTTACACGTCAATAATTATTTTGGCAATATGAACAATCCTAAGTAGAAATAAAAACATCTCGATGGATTTGAACCGGCATAGTGACTTTTGGACACAATCATCAGAGCACCGAAACAGAAGTTCATTTTAATACATTAACCATAAGTTAGTGGTATAATTATACCAGCTTTTTATGATTATATGTCACAATCACATTTTTCTTCTCTTGCATTATTCCTGTAGAATCTCTTAAAAACTTTCTTCAGATTCCATCAGAAAATTCAGGTGGGTAATGGAAAAGGTCACCATTGAAAGATATAAGCTTTAGGAGGATAGTTGTATATGTCAAAAAACAAGCGTGCTTCTGTCCTGTAAATGTTGGAGCCAATTATCTTTTTTATTACAGGGTATAGATATATTTACCGAATTACAAAATAGGTGTTTGGAATCATTAACTTCTACTATGCATTTTCACCCATGTTACTCTTTAATTTACAGATGGGTTTTACAGGCTTACAGTCTTTTGTGTGTTAATACAGGTTGCTCAACTGAGGCAGCGTTTTTTCCATTCAATTGCTCCAGGAGGGCTTGCTGGGGATAGACAGGGTGTTGTCCCTGCCTCAGGATTTTCCTTCAGTGCACAGCAGATATGGAAAGTTATAAAAGAAAATAAGGATCTTGACCTTCCTGCTCACAAGGTTACATTCTGTTCCTCCCTGTTGTGAGAAGAAATTATTGGATTTCTTATGCAACTATTATTATTGTTATAATATTCTTTTTTTGTCTTGCTTTATTCCTTTTTATTTTTACATAACCAGGTCATGGTTGCCACTGTTCGCTGTGAAGAAATCGCAAATGAGAAGCTCAGTTGCTTGACCAACGATGAGGTATTTCATGCATCAATCTTCCATTCTGGTGTTGCTTTTTGTCTATCAGAAATCATTTGTTGGGGAAAACTTAGTTGTTGATTTGATGTAGGGTTGGTTAGAGCTGAAGGAAGCTGTTCAAGATGGTCCCGTATCAGGTTTTGGGAAAAAGCTAAGCTCAATCTTAGAAACCTATATTTCAGAGTAAGTTTTCAGTCCCTATTATATAAAATTAAATTAAAATCTTCCTGAACAATGAAAGTTTTCATTGCTGACCTCTCTAATCTGAAGGCATTTTTAAAATTGAAGAACTGTCAATAAATGTACAAACCATTAATCTGTTATTGTATGACTGCATCATTCAAATAATAAGATGGATTATTCATTGTTCAAAAGGCTCAGAATCTTTTTAGGGAAAGCAACCGGTGAACCTATTTTTCCGTTTATAGAAATATGACAATTATATTGTGACATCTTTCAGAAGTTAAAGGACCCTTCAAAATATACAGTTGTAGAATTGGTTACAAATTGTTTGTTTACATGTTATTTTTGTCTGTTTACATGTTATTTTTGTCATAATTATTATTATTTTGTCACTTATCCTATTGTCCTAATAAATAGTCATCTCAGTTATGCTCCAAAACTTCATGCAATGCTTGCTTTGCAAATTGAATATCTGACATTATTCTAAATGTTAGGGGTGCTTAATCTGGTAACTTTGACGTCTTTAAGTCCCACTGAACTGGCATGTGTTATAGGAGGCATGACTTATAATAGAAAAGAATGAAAGAAGAGAATTTATGTGGCCAATCCCATTTGATTTGGATCAAGGAAAAGTTGATGATCATTAATGGTTCTGTGCTTCTCAAGAACTTATTCTTGTACTGGTTCTGCTTTTTAAGGGTGGAAAGCTCAAGTAAAAGTGAAACTTATGACCTATTGTACTTGTTTCAGTTTTTGTCCTTTTGAACTTTCTAAAACTTAATAATAATTTTCTGAAATCAAAATTGGAAATGTTGATTTTTTTGCTCTAATCCTCTTGTTGGTTATTTTTTGGGATAATGTTCCTTTACTAAATTTATTTGGACCCTTTGATCTTACTTGTTTACTCTACGTTTTCTTTTCTATAGATATGAACTGGAGGCCATGTACTTTGATGAAGGCGTGAGAAATGCAAAACGACGAGAATTGGAGTCGAAAGTGTTGCAGGTGACACATTTTTAATCATTTCCATCATATTTTTTAGGTCATTAATAGATTTCTTATTAAGTAGTGGCAATGAAATGCTTTGTTGCGGGAACTGGTTTGGAGAAAATATATTAATGTATTTTTTTATTTGTTGTGTTTGTTTCTCAGGTTGTCTAACCCATTGCAAATATAATCATCTAAAAGTTAAACAGTAATGAATTTGAATAATGATTATATGATGCGGTCAGACGATCACCTTCTTAAGCTACCTGAGATGCAAATTTTCTTTTCAAAAAAAACTTTAAGTGAATGGGGCCTATAATCTTTATGCATTTGTGAGATGATAACGTGAGTGATATTTACTACAATGAATTGGTAATGTGCAATGGAGGCCACTCATTGTACCGTTGAGGAAGACTAATATGCTTCACATTGGGAAGGGGAGGACCAAAACTAACATGGGTTGAGTTCTATTTTATATGAACCCGAGTATGTTATTTGGGTGTTAGTATATGACTGTGTTGTATTTATCAAGTAATAAAATCCAAGGACGCAGTTGTATGACTAGAAAAATCATATTTTATAACACCCTTCTTTTATTTTTAGGTTAAATTTATGTTTTTACTTAATGTAGAATGTTTAACATAGTTACTTCACTCGTTTTGAAGTAATATATTTCCAGAGGAACATAATAAAAGAGTTTTAGCCTAATTATATAGTTCACCTTTTTTTCCCCCCAAGTAATTCTATAGTGAACTTGAATCATTAGCAATGCTTGCTAGGTGCATATCCAACTGGACACGTTAAACACATGAGTTGAGGTAGTAAGGAAATATCTGATAAAATGTAATTTAGAAGAAATTATGACCACAAATATAGCAGAATGACGAAACGTGAATGATTTATGTAGTCAATTTATATAGTTGGAACGTGAATGATTTATGTAGTCAACCCATGTAGTTGGGACTTGGGACAACATTTTGTTGAGTCATTCTATCAAACCTATTTGAACCATAGTGTTAGAATGTATATTCTTTATAGTGTTGGGTCATTATGTAATTACCCATAGTAGTTAGGGTTATTGTGTAATTATGTAATTAGGGTCTGTAACCCTTTTCGTATATAAGCGTTATTTAGAGGGCTGAAGAGATGCAATACAGTACATACATTTTCTCTCAATCTCTCTCTCTTTCTCTCCCTATCTCTCATGAATCTGAATATGGTATCAGAGCGGGTGTGGGAAACAATAAGTGTGTTGCCCTTGTATGAGAGCGACTGGAATCGTGAGTACATTGTCAGTGTCTTTGTCGGAAGTTCGTGTCGCCAGTAGGTTGAGAACATCGTCCTTAGTCGTCGTCAGATCTGAAGCCCGTCGTCGTCAGATTTGCAGCCTCCTTTGTCGCCGTCAGATCTGAGCCACCTCTGCCATCGGTTCCCTCTCAGTTTCCTGTTTCCGCACCTCCTCGGTCTGCTGTTCCTTTGCAGGTTTATACTCGACGACCTCGACCGCCTACTTCGCTCCCTCCATCTCCTTCAGAGTCTTCGGATCCGACGCCTTTACTTGATGATTTGCCTATTGCCCTTCGTAAAGGTATTCGGTCGTGTGTTACTGCTCATCCCATTTCTAACTTTGTCTCCTATCGTCATATTTCATCCTCTTTGTCTTGTTTTTTATCCAAAGTATCTGCTACTTTTGTTCCAAAGACATTGCAGGATGCTCTCTCTGATTTGGGTTGGCGGCAAGCTATGGTAGATGAAATGGGTGCCCTTTATCGTAATGGAACATGGGATCTTGTTCCCTTACCTCCGAGCTCCAAACCGGTTGGTTGTAAGTGGGTCTACACAGTTAAATACCTTCAAGATGGGTTTATTGAGCGGTTGAAGGCTCGTCTAGTGGCAAAGGGGTACACTCAAACTTATGGTGTTGACTATAATGAGACTTTTTCTCTTGTTGCTAAGATTTCTTCTATTCGAATTCTTATTTCCATTGCTGCCAATTGTAACTGGCCGTTGTTCCAATTGGATGTCAAAAATGCCTTCTTACATGGTGACTTGGTTGAAGAAGTTTATATGGAGCAACCACCTGGGTTTGTTGCTCAGGGGGAGTCTTGTCACACTGTTTGTCGCCTTAAAAAGGCCCTGTATGGATTGAAACAATCTCCGCGGGCTTATTTTGGGAAATTCTCTGAGGCGGCATTAGAATTTGGTCTTAACAGATGCCAGATCGATCATTCGGTATTTCACCTACGCACTAAAGCTGGCTTCATCTTTCTTGTGGTGTATGTAGATGATATTGTGATCACAGGTGATGATTCTGCAGGCATTGCTAAGTTGAAGTTGTTTCTGCAAAATCGGTTCCACACTAAAGACTTGGGTAAACTTAGATACTTCTTGGGTATTGAAGTTGCTAGATCCAAGGAAGGTATAAGTTTATCTCAGCGAAAATATGTGTTGGATTTGCTAGAAGAAACAGGTATGTTAGGTGGTCGTCCGGTTGATGCTCTTATGGATTCAAATACAAAACTTGTGTCTGATTAGGGTGATCTATTTAATGACCCAGGCAGATTTCGTCGCCTTGTTGGGAAATTAATTTACCTTACTATCACTCGACCTGATATTTCATATGCAGTTAGCGTTGTAAGTCAGTTTATGGGAGCTCCTAGAATGCCACATTGGATTGCTGTTCTTCGGATTATCCGATATCTCAAGTGAGCTCCAGGTTTTGGGTTACTATACCATTCAAATGGTCATCTCAGGTTAGAAGGTTTTACAGATGCTGACTGGGCTGGTTCTCCTTCAGATAGGAGATCTACTACAGGTTACTGTACATTTGTAGGAGGAAATCTTGTTACATGGAAGAGTAAAAAGCAAACGGTGGTAGCTCGATCTAGTGCTGAAGCTGAGTACAGGGCAATGGCACATACCACTAGTGAGTTGACATGGATACAAAATCTTCTAAAAGAACTTGAGTTGACAGTTGAAACTCCTACTCCATTGTTCTGTGATAACCAAGCAGCAGTTCACATAGCATCGAATCCTGTATTTCATGAGAGAACCAAACATATTGAGGTTGATTGTCATTTTACTCGAGAAAAAATATTAAGTGGTAGCATCTCTACTCCATTTGTGAAGTCTAAAGATCAACTAGCTGATATGTTTACCAAAGCACTGGGTCATAATCGGTTAAAGACTATCTATTCCAAGCTGGGATTATTTGATATATATTCTCCAGCTTGAGGGGGAGTGTTAGAATATATATTCTTTATAGTGTTGGGTCATTATGTAATTACCCATAGTAGTTAGGGTTATTGTGTAATTATGTTATTAGGGTCTCTAACCCTTTTCTTATATAAGCCTTATTTAGAGGGCTGAAGAGATGCAATACAGTACATACATTTTCTCTCAATCTCTCTCTCTTTCTCTCCCTATCTCTCATGAATCTGAACACATAGCATTTACAGGGAAGTCACTACGTACCACCTTGAGTCAAGAGGGCCAGCACATGTGAAAGACAACAAGGAAACATGCATCAACCTTGCCCCTAAGCTCTAATTTGTGAGCATGTGGAACATCCCATCACATTTTGTTAGTTGTCAAAGTGACAAACCTGAAGTCCCCTTCAAACTACCACTCTAAAACGGCTGAAGCTAGATAAAGAAATATAAAGCACAATATACAAAGTAAGACTTGAAATGTATGTAAGGAGCCAAACCCTGCTTAGATTAGCTTTACAGAAATTGGCTAATACTGTTTTCTAGGGCAAACATATGGCAACTTCAATAAGCAACAGGCGAAAGAATTGTTTTCTTCAGAATGCAGCTGCATCTTACTCAAACGCCTATAGTCTATTTATTATTATTATTATTATTTTTTCACTTTTTCTCTTTCATGATATAATTCAGATGCCTACTGAGCAAACAGTAAATTAATGACTGATGAAACCATAAAATATATTAATTGTTGGCCAATCTATGGTCCTTTTCTGTACTCAGTGAACAGGTGATGAAATTTGAGCAGTCACTTTTTGCACATTAAGAGGTCCCTAGATGTAGTCCCTCCATTAGAAGAATGATGGATCAATGATTTTTTGCCTGCATTATATTTTTCGTCAGTTAGCATTAATCACAGTGATGATAAATATTATTCATTTGCTTTTCTATAAATACATATATTTTTGTCATATGCTCATTTTTTATGTATCGTGCAGATAGTGCATCCCGCTTACATTACCATGTTAGGACATTTACGTTCTAGAATGCTCGAAAGTTTTAAGGCAAGACTTGAACAATCATTGCACAGAGGAGAAGGGTTTGCTGCTTCAGTTCGTATGTGTACTCAGTCTTGTATGCTTGAGTTCGACCAGGGATGTCAAGGTACTGTAATATATATAAATAGTGGATAATCATGCGTGCAATTATCATGGGACTTTATATTGTTTGATTTGGTTTTGCTTCTACCCTATTGCAACAGGGTTTTTGCTCTTGCATTCTACACTGCTTTCATATAAATTCTAAGCTACTTTTGTGTGTAACGATTCTAAGGTAACATAATTAACCTTTGCCTCATGCAAAGTTACTTAATTAATAACTACAAATATAGAAAAAAAAAATAAAAATGAGAGAATTGTGTAAAAGCTTGAATGAAATGAATCACTCATTCACAGCTCTAGTATTTATAGATAAAAAAGCGCACATGCTCATATTACAAGAAAGGATATAAAGTCAAATCTAAATAAAATCACAGCATATTCTATGGTATATTCTATAGCATAATCAAATCTCTACTAATATGGTAAGTCATTCCATAAATTGTGACTATCATATCTGCTAACACTCTCCCTCAAGTTGGTGTGTGGATATCTGAAACGCCCAACTTGGATAATGCATTCTCAAACACGATCTTGCTGACACCCTTTGTAAGAATGTCTGCAAGTTGCTGAGAGTTTGTGAAAAATGGAGTGCAAATTCGACCAGAGATGATCTTCTCTCGAATGAAGTAACGGTCCACCTCTATGTGCTTAGTCCTGTCATGTTGAACAAGATTTGCTGCTATGCTAATGACAGGCTTGTTGTCGCAGTAAAGTGAGAATGGAAGCGACATTGGAAGGCACACGTCTATCATCAAGGTTTTCAGCCATAGCAACTCACATACTCCAAGAGCTATAGCCCTATAGTTTGCCTCTGCATTAGATTTAGAGAACATCTTGCTTGTTACTGCACCAAGTAACCAAGTTGCCACCAATAGTGGTACAATTGCCCGAAGTTGACCTCCTATTTGAAACTGATCATGCATAATCAGCATCTGTCCAAGCCTTAACACGCAAGTGACCATGATTGGCAAACAAAATACCATGACCCGGACACCCTTTTAAGTAGCGAAGGATCCGAATAGTTGCATCAAGGTGAAGGGTATGAGGAGAGTGCATGAATTGACTCACGACACTCACGGCATAAGTAATGTCAGGTTGAGTTATGGATAAATAGATGAGCTTCCCAATAAGTCGTTGATACCACCAACATCCGACAACAACTCCCCTTCAGAATCAGCCAACTGATGATTCTGCTCAATCGAGGTATCAGTAAGACGAGCGCCAAACTGACTAGAAGCAGAAAGCAAGTCAAGAACATACTTGTGTTGAGAGATGAAAATACCAGCCTTGGAGCGAGCCACCTCAATGCCCAAGAAGTACCGAAGGGGACCAAGATTCGTAATCTCAAACTGACGGCCAAGATAGCTTTTAAACTCAGTAATTCCAGCAGTATCATCTCTGGTAAAAACAATATCATCGACATACACAATGAGATCAATTGTCTTACCGCCTGAATGATGTAAGAACAAGGTGTGATCAGCTGCGCTCTGATGGAAACCAAACTTGAGCATGGTAGTGCCAAACGATCAAACCAAGCTCGAGGAGACTGCTTGAGGCCGTACAGGGAGCGACGAAGACGACAGACCATACCAGAATGAGTAGGAGAACGAAAGCCCGGAGGGAGAACCATATACATCTCCTCCTGCAAATCACCATTGAGAAAGGCATTCTTGATATCTAACTGCAATAGAGGCCAAGATCGAATCGCAGCAACGAAAAATAATACACGGATGGTATTCATCTTGGCAAGAGGGGCAAAAGTCTCCTGATAATCTATGCCATAAGTCTGAGCATAACCCTTGGCAACTAATTGGGCGTTGTAACGAGCAACCCACAACCTTTCGTCCAATACGAAGCGGAACCATGTCCCAAGTATGATTTTTCTCAAGTGCTTGTAGTTCTTCTGTCATGGCATCACGCCATTGAGGTTGTGCTAGTGCATCTGCAACACTAGAAGGAAGAGGAACCGAGGCAACAGAAGCAAGAAAACTTCGATAGTAGGGTGAGAGAGCACAATCAGAAACAAAATTAGGAATAGGGTAAGTACAAGAACGTTTACCCTTCCGAAGAGCAATGAGGCGATCTGTGAAACAATAACTTAAGAAAGTGAAATTGGTGCTGAAGGAATAAGGCAGTCGATCATGGGAATAGAAGTTTGTACCTGTTGTCTTCGACTATAAACCTATGGAAAAGGAACAATTCCCCCTGTTGGAGGGGTATTACGAGAAGGAACAATAGAAGACGAAATAGGCAAAGTTAGAGGAGTTGAAGACGGAAGAAGGTGATCATCAATTGTATTCAATGGGAACCATTCACTTTGAGAACCAACTGAACCACTATAGTATGGTGTATGCTCAAAGAAAGAAACATCCATGTATATAAACTGTTTACGACTCGGAGGATGGTAACACCTATAACCTTTTTGAGAGAGAATAGCCAAAAAACACATACTTCAAAGCCTGGGGTCAAGCTTTGTACGAGTTTGCCCTAATTGCTGAATAAAGCACACACACCCGAAGACTCGCGGAGGAATAAAAAAAAGAGATGAATTGGGATGTACGATTGAGAGTGGGGCTGCAAAATTAAGAACCCTAGAAAGAGTTCTATTAATGATGTAGACAGCTTTAAGAACTGCATCTCCCCAAAATGACTGGGGAACATTCATGCTAATGCAGATTGTTCTGGCTAAGTCAAGGATGTGGCGATTCTTTCTCTCAGAACGACCATTCTGTTGATGGATTTAACATTAGACATCTGATGCTCAATCCCAAATTCTTTACATAACCGCTGTACCTCCCTATAAGTGTACTCCGTACCCTGGTCAGATCCGAATTTTTTAATGATACGACCATATTGAGTTTTGTTAGAAGTTTTATATATATATGTTGGGTCATTATGTAATTACATTTAGTTGATAAGACCCTTGTGTTATTATGCAAGACTTGTACCCTTTATATATAAGCCTACACAGGCTTATTAGGTTAGATTGTTGAATATACAGTATATATGTTTTGCGCTCTCTCTCTCTCTCTCAATTTTGAATATGGTATCAGAGCAAAATGATCATGGGTGTGAGAGTCAGTAGGTGGGTTGTTCTTGTATAAGATCTGAGTTCTTGTATAAGATCTGAATCGCAATCGGAATCACGATTGTGGTTTTGTTGTCTTTGCCGGCAGCTTCTCATTCGTCGTCGTCGGCAATTCCTTGTTCACCGTAGTCGGATCTGCAGCCTCATTCGTCGTCATCAGATCTGAAGCTTGTTCGTCATCGTCTCTGCTTTCTTCGTTGTCGCCGGCAGCTCCTCTTTGGTTGTCAGCGAGCTTGCCGACATCTGCCGTCTCGATTTGCAAAGGTGAAGTTGGTTTTTTGGCCGGAAGTTGCAGCTGCTGCTTGTAATTGGGTTGCCGTCGCCTCCGCCGCGTTGTACACCGGTGTTTGTGAAGGGGTGAAGAAGAAGACCCGTGTGTGGCTACACGGTTATGCTATTCCAACCCTGGTTTACTAAACCTGGGATAGCTATTCCAAATTCGGTTTACTAAACCAGGGATAGCCCAGATCCGCCCCGTTTGCCCAGGATCCGACTCATTTGTCCAGATCCGACCCGTTTTGTTCAGGTCCTGACCGTTTGCACGAATCCAACCCGTTTACCCGGATCCGGCTCGTTCCCAGGTTCGGCAAGAATACAAATTCTGCATTTTTTTTTTTTCTTTCCTTTTCTTCTCTGTTTTCCTGGATTCGATATGGCGTCCAATTCAGATTTGCTTTCTCCCACATTAAGTCTTCATTCTCCCATGACTTCAGTTAAACTCAATGGGAAGAACTACATACTGTGGGTTAAATCTGTTGCAATTTTTCTCAAAGGCAGAGGTCTTGGCAATCATCTGACTAAAGATAAACCCAAGGAAACTGATACTTCTTTTGATGCATGGGAAAAGGAAGATGCTCAGATCATCTCTCTGCTGTTAAACAGTATTGAACCCCAAATCAGTTCAACGTTACTTTACTTGGATACTGCCAAGGAGATATGGAACAGATTGCAGCAATTGTATTCTGGGACAGGTAATATCACTCGTGTTTATGAGCTCTGTAAGCAGTACTTCCATCTTGAACAAGGTAATCATAGTATAGAGGCGTATTATTCTACAGTTATGGGAGTCTGTGAGGAGCTGAATATGTATTAGCCCATTACTGCTGATGTTCGAAGTATGCAACAACAGCGTGAGGACTTTAATGTTGTTCGTTTTCTCACCGGTTTGTTATCAACATATGAGCCTTTTCGTGCACAAATTATGGGCAGTCCCACCCTTCCCTCTTTTGCTGAGGTGTTCTCTCGACTTCAACGGGCTTCACTTGCCAGTGACACCTCAAATTTGAATTCTGGGCAAAGTGGTGAGAGTTCAGCTTTGGTAGTTTCAAAGGGTGAACATAATTCTTACCGTGGAGGTTGTGGGGGACGCTCCACACGTGGTGGTCGTGATTCACGGGGAGGACGTGGCCGTGGCAGGGAATCACGAAAATGTACTCATTGTGGCCTTTCTAATCATACTGTGAACTTTTGTTGGGACATTCATGGCAAACCATTTGGTTATGCCAATCAAGTGTCCTCCTCTCCGAATGATGTTGCTTCTCGATCTCACAATGTATCTGAATCAAAAATAGTCCCTGTTCCACGGGATGAGTATAATCAGTTTTTATCTTATAAGCAAGCATCTAATTCATCTTTCACGGCTACCTTTGCCCAGTTAGGTAATGCGCGCACGTGTCTATTGTCTTCCACTCGCAGTCCTTGGATCATAGACACTGGAGCATCTGATCATATGACTGGATGTTCTTCTCGTCTATCTGATTTTAATTTTGTACCCTTTCTCAAAGTTTTACTCTTGCTAATGGTTCATCCACTCAAGTTTCAGGTTTGGGGACAACTCAACTTAGTGATTCCTTGTCTCTTTCATCTGTTTTATATGTTCCGCAGTTTCCCTTTAATTTAATGTCTATCAGTAAGCT